GCTTGTTTTAGCTATTAGGAACCTTTGAAACAAGAAGGTTTTTAGTACTGGATGAGTTTCCTTCAATCCTCCACAAAAGAAGTTTTAAATACAAATGTAAGGATTAAAAATAAATACATATACATTATATTTGGAATAAAAAACTAAAGGAGGATTAGAACTTTGATTTTGGAAAGTTAGAAAACAAAGGGTCCAGATGGATTTGAAATAAAAATTTGGAATTAATTACAAGAATCCTTCCCTTGAGAAAAGGCTTTTGTTTCAAATTCTCTTTTTAAAAAACTGATGGATGAGACTTTGGTTGAACATCAGAGGCAATCAAAAAGAACTAAAGTTTTCAGTTAAAGGAGAAGAACACTTAAATTTGATTTACCAATACAGAATATTAAATTGAAGGATATTTTTGAAAAAATGGACCCAGAAATTAACTTTAAAAGTGTCTGTTACTATAAATAGTGTTAAAAAGGTGTTATGGTAGAATTTTACATACAAGACTGAGCCTGATGAAAAAGTGAATTTTAAAATGACAGGTTACAAGAAAACAGAAATGATGCGGAAAACATGCTATCCTGAAATTGGCTAATGTCTCAATAATTAAAAATCATATTACAAATAACAAACCAAAGAGTGACCTGGATAACTTTCCTATAGTGAATTTACAAAGGAGACTTGTTAAAGCTTTGAAGAAATTTGTCAGAAGGGATAAATAAATAATGAAAAGAAATCAAGTTCTAGGACATTATTTGAAGGGGTTAAAGATCAAGGTTATTAAAAGTAGGAATGTTAAGTTGGTTTATTTGATCAATGTTAAAAGAAGATGTGTTATTTAATCTCTGGTAACCCTTAATGGACTTTTACTGATCAGAACTGAATAAATAAGACTTTGTTTATAGATATGAGATAGAATACAGGAAGAAGAAATTATTTATTGTATTTTAAGAGAAGGTGATAAGTTACTGAAATTGTTTATATTTGTTATGATAAAAGAGAAGTCATTTCTTTATATATGTTTCTCTACTATATTCTTACTTTTTCTTTGCTATTTTTCTATTTTTTCTTTCTTTTATCCACTTTTTATTTTTATTCATACTAGTTTTTATCTTTTTAGTTGAAATTTTAAATAATTATATTTAAATAATCAAAAAGAACAATCCAAAGGTAAAGATGATCTTATTTTTAGACAACACCTTCTTGCTACAGCGGGACAACTCTTCCTTTGGAACTATGAAGTTCTCTTTCACTATCAGAGCCAGCTTCATCCCACCTATATATTACATTGTTTATAGCAGGGGTCCCCAACCCCTGGTCTGCAGACTGGTACTGGGCTGTGGGCACTTAGGAACCGGGCCACACAGCTGAGGTGCACTGAAAGTGCGTCTTCCACCACCAGGAATGTGGAACTCTGCAGGGGTCTGTGCAGGGGTGGGAGAGTGGCAGGGCAGAAGCTGTCTTGCTCAGTGCAAGGTCCTCCAATGGCTGTGCTTGCAACTGATTTGCAACATCTAAGCTCCACGTTCTTCCTTCTCTCCCTCTTCCTGCTTCTTCTGCTGTCTCTCCTTTTGTCTCCACCTCCTCCTCCCAGTCCTGCTCCCTCTTCCTCCTGCTGCTTCTTTTTCCTCCTCCTCTTCTTCCTCACTTCCCTCCTCTCCCCCTCCTGGCACCCCAGCTGGGCTCACGCTCCCTTCATGCAACTCTCCAAATTTGCAAGACAAACATGTGCCAGCCCAGCTTGCAACCAGACGCTCCCCCAAAGCCTCATTGGTGGCACCCCGCAAGGTATGTGTGTGTGAGGGTATCTTTCTCAGGGTGCAAATAAGGGTAGGGAGAAGCTACCTTTCACTTTAAGCACTGCGTTTCCCAGGGATTCTCTCATCTGCACCTTTTCTAAGACCACCGGGCTCATTGAACTGGATTTTTTTTTATTTTGATACTCCAGGTGCCTCGTGTTTTGGCAACATCCTGCCTGCTTTTCAATGTTTAATTTGGTATATAGTACTAGCTATATACATAAAATGATACATCATGGGTGTCCAACCTTTTGGCTTGTCTGGATTTCACTGAGTGAAAAGGAATTGTCTTAGGCCACATATAATATATATATTATAGTTAATGCATATAAATATAGTTAAAAACCACATAGCAATGTTAAAAGTTTACAATCTTGTGGAGTCACAAGACCTCCTACCTGAGCTATATTGCTCTGAAGAAGGGTGAGTCTTTATGTCAGATGACTAGATGCTCACACAGATCTAAGGTTGCAGCCCTTGAAGCTCTAGATCAGCCTGCTAGGCTTACAATTAGGTGGAGTTAACATATTGCATTAAGCCATTGGTTAATTATGGTTTAATTAACTAATTAGAGTCAAAAGAATAGCTGAGGTATACATTATGGCTGGGTTCATACAGCATGCTAAATCTAGACCATCTTATGGGGTGTGCTTGGGGATGACTAGAATACAATGCTTTACATAAATATAAATTGGTAAGTACTATGTAAGAAAAAATACAGATTACCACTATCTGTAGCAAAGTGTTATGTGAACCAGATCAAGTCTTAGTGTCCAGCAGAAATCTCACTAACTTCTGAGATTCAATTCCAAACATTTATTTTTCTCATCATCAACATAATATAGGTTCATGCAACAAGCAAAGCATAATATTATTTGTTTAATTCAAGTTTAGCAAGTTGTGATTTGTAGTGATTGGTTGCCTATATCCAGCCATTGCGATTTATTCAATAAATCATAATTTATTAATATAAAATATACAATATGCAAGTATTATGATTAACATAACAAAAATCCTTATTCCAGTAGGTTGTAACTTTGGGAGTGGGTGGGTTTAGTTTTGTTGATTAAAGAAGTGTTTATAACTTGCCACTGTTGTAAACAAAGGACAATGGGCAACACAATACGTATTGGGAGAATCTTTTCTGCGCATGTTTATTCACAAGAAATCCATGAGCAAAACAGGACTGGTGCATGGGTACATGGTGCATAGGTACATAGCTCAGACAGAAAAGTCGTTAATGATCATCTTTACTGACAACAAATACATTATGCGTATAAATATGAGGTTAACCATTCAGCCCATCTCAGAAATCATAACTAGAAATATAAGTGTGATTTTATGCCATTTGAACAGCACAGTGCAGTCCTTCCATATATATCAATTCAGAAATCAGTCTCATTGAGAAAAATCTACATTCATTTGCAAAGTTTTGTGAGAGGTTTGACATGGTCTCTCTCTTACACACAGACACACACACAAGAGCAAGGTATAAATTTCAATATGCATTTGAAAAGCCTGCTTTTGTTCCGGTCTCAGATCTAAGGTTAGCTGAGCTTAGTTCCTAACCTCTTTTCCTGCTGGTTTTAGATTAAACTACTGTTTTTGGCAAATTCATTCTCACTTCGAAAACAAAATAGACTCAGATTAAGGAATGCTTGTTCGTTTTTCAAGTCAAGGGCAGCAGTGCTGCTTCTCCAACAGACTAAGAGGAAGCCAACCACAGGGAATCCGAGACCATGGACAGCCAGGAAATGCGTGTTGGCCTAATGTATAAGGTCTCCCTAGATCAACAACAAACAGCAGGATTTGTCGGCCCTGAGTGTACACAGCTTTGCTCAACCACTGAACGTCTCTCTTCAAAAACAAGAAAAGATAGGCAGACAGGAGCCTGTGTACTCACCATACGGAGGGGCTTCCATCTTAGCACTTAGCTGTGTGCTTACATTGACCATTTCTCATCAGTATAATTCTGAAGAAAATGGGAAAGTGTAAAATAACAAGAAAAGAAGCTGGGCGAGGGAGGGAGGGAGGAAGGGTGAGGAAACCTGCCTCGCCTGTTATCTTATTGATTCGCTTAATCAGGCCTAATGTGGGTGGAGATGTTAAATAGTAACCAAGCTAGTATGGAAACCAACTTGCAAGGTGCCGTCTGCCACGGTAGCTATAGTGACTGCTCCCAAGCTTGAAACTCAAACACGACTTTCCAGCACAATTTTGGGATTTCCACTGACACCTGGTTTCAGGCCCAGGGTGATCCCCTACGAAGAAAAAATGCTGTCGTCTGGATTCTCCCTGACAAAGAGGCACAGAGAAGCAATCCAGAACAGAGAAGCTGAAGGAACTCCCATGGGGAGGTGTGAATTAGGTCAGTTTTACAGCTGCTGAGACATGGGGCATTTTATTGCCCTCACCAAACAAACATGAAGAACAATGACTTTTGTGTGCAGACAAATGCAGATAGATCCCCATGCTGTCGCTGGGGATAAGCAGCCCATTTCTGTGGCCAGATCTGCATTTGTTTATAGGTAAAGAACAGACAGTAGTGAATGAGCTAGTGCCAGGCTCTGTGTAGTATGTAAATAAATCAGGGTGTGTATGTTGTCTGATTGTGCTTATGCATGATGGAGGGCTGGTGCTACCTTTGTATTAGTTGCTCTGGCCCATATTCAATGAGTTTTTCTAAAATGAATGTGTGGCATTTCAACCATGCTGCCAGTGTATTTGCATATCACACACATAATGCATGCACACACATGCACACCCATCCACTCACAGACATATAAGAGCAACATAATCAATTTAATCTTAAAATACTGAAAAAATGCAAACAAAATCACATAAAACCCAGAAATTATTTTTAACAGTCAAAGCAGTTGCAAGCAGAACTGCCCTGCCTGTATTAGTTTTGATATTAGCGGGTCCATGTTGGGATTTTTTTTGTTTGATGGGATGGTGGAACTTCTGCTGAATGCATGTATACAGGTAGTCCTCGACTTATGACCACAATTGAGTCCAAAATTTATGTTGCTAAACAAGACTGTTGTTAACTGCCTAAATACAGGACCTTATTTTTCTCACCACTGAACTGCAACTTGTTAGATAGGACCCAATGTTCTGTCTGTCAAGATCCTTCTAAATCTTGAATCTATCTTCCAAAATGTTAGAAATTCCCCCTAGTTTGATCAGTTCTTCTTCTATCTCCTCATCTAGATCATTTATGAAGAAGTTGAAGAGCAATGGGCCCAAGACAACCTTGAGGTGCCCCGCTGCATGCTTCCCTCCATGCAAATATAGTTCCACTGAGGACTACATGCTGAGTGTGGTTGGTCAGCTGACTGTGAATCCATCTAGTAGTGGTACTCTCTATCCCACATTGTTCTATCTTATCAAGAAGTAGGCTGTGGTCTATTTTGTCAAATGAACTCCAAGCATTTCTCTGATTCACTAATTTGTCAAGGTTCTTTAGAAATAAATCTTTATTGTTGAGAGCCTTTGCATATATCAATGTTTTCTGGAAGGAAGGAAGGAAGGAAGGAAGGAAGGAAGGGAGGGAGGGAGGGAGGGAGGGAGGGAGGGAGGGAGGAAGGGTTTCTGGTGCTCCCTGCCAAACCCCAAAAGGAAACTCAATGGGAAGCTGGCAGGAAGTTGAAAATTGCTCCTGTTCTCATGCTTTTTTGCCCACCCTGGGTCGTTCTGTTTCTCTGTTTAGGTAAGGAAATATTTCTGAAATGAAAACTCATGGGTACACAAATTGTTTAGTGCTTAATCAAATCAGATAAAATAAATGTTATATGAATGAGGCAAACACAATGAATGGTGAATGCACTGTTTTAATGCAATCCATTAAACAACCCACCCAAAAGGTTAATGATTTTACTGAGAACTATGTCCTTTATATATGTCCAGCATATATATAAAATAATCAGGATGATATTCTTACTTAATCTAGGAGACACATTTTGGCAAAACACACGAACGTTTGCTATGTGCAAATCAAAGGTGGATTTTTGTCATCAGATCTAAGTGAAACATTATTGCAGAGAATGAAATGGCAATTGAAGTATATTTTCTTTTAAAAATTAAAAAATCAAACTAATTAGAATAATTGTGAATAATGGAGGAATAAAAATAATTAGTATATTCAATTGTTAGTTAAAAGCAGAAGAAACAAGGACTATAATAAGAGTGAAAGTTAATCAAATGTTATAACTTGACTGCATGATTCAGACAAAAGCAAAAATACCTTGATAGGGAAGAAGTAGTAGGTGATCAAATTAACTTTAAAAATATTCAAACCTTGCATCAATATTATATTTACTGGCTAAAATGTGGCGTTATTTATTGTTACCTTTATATCACACCTTTTCTCTGGGAGCTCAAAGTGTTAAGGAGAGCTCCACTCATTTTACCATAACAGGAATATCCCTGTAAGAAAGGTTACTATGAAAAATAATGTGTTCCATGGTTGAGTGTGGACTTCAACCTTTATCTCCTCAGTCCAACAGCATATGCACTACCCTGGTCTCAGTTGTAAATCATAAATACTTTTCCTGTTGATTCTTTAAATGCCTCCAGGGAATGCCTAGAGTTACACTTACTTGTTAGTTTAAATGCTCCCTGATGCCTGTCAAATTGTCTTCCCTCTGTTACTTACAATGGCATAATCCTACAACAAATAAAGAAATGAGATTAAGAATGCAGAATAAACAAGATCTAAGAATTTATCCCCTACTTAACATTATGAGAAATGCTGGCTCTTGAGCATGTCTATGAATGTCAAAATATATTTGGAGCTGTATTATGGTTTAGAAGATGGGGGAAGGGTGGATGGCTAGAGAAAGAAATTTAGAATTTATATAAATGAAGGCATATTTATAAGTAAAGTATTTATAAGTAAAAATTAGACAGCTGTTTTACACTTGGCCCAATCTTCTATCATCTCCATCAGTGAGTGTTTCTTCCACAATTTCAATATAGTGGGGAGCTCAAGGCACACATGCTATGTTCAGAACCAACCAATTCTGTTGGATTTAAATCCCAAATAACACATGTTGTTGCTGCAGGTGCCTCCATAACTAGGTGGGCAGGCTGAACAAGGTTTTCCCATTTTGTAAGGTGCTTCTCCTATCCAATTGCCCCTGTAAACAAAGAAAAGCAAAATGCATGAGCAATACTTTTGTCCTGGGTACTACACTGATGCATATTATTATCCCCCTTTTTTTCTTTTTTTATGCCTTCACGTCAGTGCTGATTCCTAGCAACTGCCTGGACAAGTCCCTGAAGTTTTATACTGGTGTAGGCTTTCAGGCTGTTATCTGTTGGGCACTGTTGAGCTCCAGGGTTTAGTGATCATGGTGTAGAAAACAAATTTCCTGACATTTCATTGGAAACCATGGCTGGCGTTTTGAGAGCAAATAGATCACATTGCCTCTGAAGATGCAAGATATGGTTGCTGGAAAATGTCAGGAAAACTGTTGTCTAAACCACAGTCACTAAATGCTGATGCTCAACACTGCCCTACAGTTTTCTTGGCAAGACAGCAGTTTGCCATTGCTTTCTTCACAGGACTAAGAGAGCAAAACTGGCTCAAGGTCACCTAGTTGGCTTCATGCCTAAGGTAAGACTAGAACTCAGTCTCCTGTTTTCTAGCCTGGTGCCTTAACCACAACACCAAACTGACTCTTAGGAGACTCTTACAAACTAGTACATTATTCAGAATGACCTAAGTAAGATGGGTGATATAGATAGAAATAGAGAAATGGAAGGAAGGAAGGAAGGAAGGAAGGAAGGAAGGAAGGAAGGAAGGAAGGAAGGAAGGAAGGAAGGAAGGAAGGAAGGTTTATTTCATCCCCTGACATTTGTATGGGAATTATTTATTATGAGAGAAACTCTTCTCCATGATACCTAGACTTCATTGTTGAACAAGATCAACTGGTCACCATTGATATAGACTGGCACAGTAGCAACCCAAGCAAGAAACAAACAAGAAGGATTAAAGATGCTGCTGTCTCTCTGTATTAGGAATAACTGAACGCCTTTCCCCACTCTTATAGTAAAAATATTTTAACTTCCCCCTCACTGCAGCATATGCTATATTCTGCCATACCCTCATATTGCCTTTGTCTCATTCTTGTCATATAGTTCAGGCAGTTTAAGTCATCCTGAAGTGTTCCAGTTTTAATTGTTTTCCTTTTCTCTCAACATCATTTTTGCCATGGATGCAGTCTGGCATGCCTCACCAATGATGCAATTGCCAATACAGTATGATCAGTGGTTGGGATATGCCCAGCTCTGATGGGTCACTTTAGCCTGCAATGACCATGCTTCTTCCCTTCCAGTCATTAATCCTAGCATCCTCCTGGGACTTTCATGGTCATTTTGGCTTAGGCTGCAAGAGAGACTGGATACAAGTGGGAAAAGGGCCTGAATAATCTTACTCAGGGCCAACATGGCAAACATCACTGACATTCAGGCAAGATTAACAGCGGCAGATCCAGACTAGTACATCAATCAGAGATGCAATGAGCCAGAAACAATAGGCAAATTATGGGCTACTTTGAGTATTATTTGCTGAGTTTATTTTCTGTAGTACAGTAATGTCCAGAGTTTTGTAAACAGTATTGAGAGGCCATAGTCTGACGAAGAAATTACAGTATATGGACTGCTCCTTAAATTATAAGAATTCCCACAAACTCTATCTTTAAATATGAAGGATATTTGAAAGTATATGATATTACAATGATGAACAAGAGCTTTACCCTTTTCCCTCTGGACATTTTCAATCCTAAATAATTCATTGCAAATTGGTTTCTTCCCCCATACACTCACATTTTACACAGAGATCCAGATTCAGAGAAATCTGCATATGTGTTGTAGTCTTTCTCTTTATGCCCTTTCCCTTACCATTTTTTCCTTCAAGGATATCTTGAGGGGAAGCACTATGGAATTCATCAAGAATAGTTCCATGATAATCTGTGTTCTACATTCTTCTCTCCCCTATAGCCTAATATTAATCCTTATGCAAATCCTAGTCTTGCTCTCTGTCAAGAATGAGTCTTTTTAAAAGTTAGCTTTTCTCAACTTAAAACTGAATTGTTGAAAACAATACCTGTAATTCCCCATAATTATGGAAGGCCACCATCCAACATATTCGTATGACACTCAACTAGGTTACTTACTTGATGGCATAATTGCACACTAAGTAGACTGCTTGCCGCCATATGTTGCCCCACACATTTATGTTGGTACAAGTGTGGACAGCACAGCCAATTCTGTTGCTGGAAGCCCACACCATCTGTTAGGAAGACATCAGCAAACTTTTGTAAGAGAGGTAGATCTAAAAACAGAAGACACATACTTTTGAATTCACCGAAAACTCTGGGATGCTTGTCTTTTACATAATGTGAAAGGTTTATTCAACAATGGTTATTAGCCCTAAATGGAATTTTTATATTCTCTGGATGGTACTATTAATATCCATCAGTTACTTTGGGATGGGGAAGCAGTAAGAAAATTGCTATTTAGTGATAACTGATATATAGTATTTCCTATATATCCATGATCCCTCAGTGCATTTCAAGAAGCATTTGGTTACCTGCTCAGGGCCTAGAAAATAGGACTGTACAGATTCTACATTACAGAACTTTTGATCTGTCTCAGCTGGACTTTTCCTGTGTTCTTTTTATGATATCCACTAAAGGTTATTGTCTAGGTCAGCCTTCCCTTAGTAGATGTTCTCCAGATATGTTGCACAGCAACTTCCAAAATTTAGAACCAATGGCCACGTTTACAGTTGATGATGGGAATAAGAAAAGACTGGTGAAGACTGATCTTTTTAACCAAACTCTGATGGATCTAATAAAAGTTTCAGGAAAGAAAGCACTGATAATGGGGAGAAGGGAAAGAAGTATGCTTGCTTCCCATGCTTAAAATTATGGAAATGTGAGATTACCATCTGGTGGATATTTAGCAGCATTTCAACATACCATTCTATTCTTGAACACACAGAGACAGGAAGAAAGGAACTGTTCAAAACATATATGAGTCAAATGTACCTTATTTGTTTGTTTGTTTTAAAGTTTATTGGCTGCTCACCTTACATCAGAATAACTCTAGGCAGCCTACAATCATAAAAATAAAGATGGTACAGAGCTACAGGATATAAATAAAATACTACAAAAAGCCAATACTGTGGCCCAATTAAAAGATGGAGGAGCAGGAGTGAAGGGGGGGGGGGATACTAACATATATATTCCTGACCCCAGATAGAATTTTATCTCCGTAGGACTTTAGCATCAGAATATACAGTAGTAGAGACTGACAACTTTTTCCAGCAAACATTGGAGGTAAACATTGCAAAAGAGTTGACAAAACTTTCATTTAATTCTGTATGAACTCTGATTCTCCAGACAGGAAATAGTATACTACTCCAAGACTGCCAACAATTTTAATTGCCACTGTTCTTGCATCATTAACAGCTTGATCCTCA